GAACTGCTGTACTGTTGTGGTTTTACAATGCTATTTCTCTACTTTTGCTGGATTTTTCTCTTTAATGTTATGTGGAAAACCCTGAACAAAAACTGGCACTTAATTCCAAGTAAACAGTGGCAGTGACTGAATAGAAACCTGATGTCAGATATACAACCACCCTGGGAAAGTCAAAATCCGCTGCTTTCTCATCTCTTCCAGTTGTTGCCTTCTTAAGTGTATTATTCATAAAATTAGCGATTCAAAAATGCATCAAAACATTATTTTTTATATTCATAGCATCACTTCGAAAAAAAATGGTTAAAAATCGATTTGCTGGCCTCTTGGGGAAATGCTGTAATGTTTTTGGCTGTCTCCTACTTTCTGCTGCCAGCTAAAAGTACCATCTGGCTTGTTTAGGGCCCTTTTCCATATCAGGTGCTTCCAAAATTCTCCCCAACCAGAGGATTGTTTCGTTGGGTTGCTTTGCCTGCTGAGGCATGTGTCCTGGGCTGGGAATCCTACTGCTTCTGTTCCCTGCCATCTTGCTGACGGTGGTGTGTGTATGTTTGGGCACGGATCTTGCTGCCTCTCTCCCGAGGACATTTGCATCATTGTCAGCTGCACATATTAAATTGATATGCAGGGCTCAGAAACACGTATCCCATCTTTTGTCCCTTTGTTTGTGCAATTGTTGTGGTTTTAATTCTTCTTTGACACCTGGAATATCACAAAGCTGCTGATAATCTGTTGGCTACTAAGGGAAATGACATTGATAGAAGGATAATGTGTGTCAGAGTTATATCTCGATAATTGCAGACACACCCTGAACCCTCGCAGCTCAGGGAATGAATATCCTAAATCCATTATTAATTTGGAGAGTCACATGTGGCAGTTGGCTGCGGTGTCATCCTCTCGCTGCAAGAGTCACTTGCAAGGGATTTTAAGGCAGTTTTGGTTAATTCTGCGTTGCTGTGTCGAGTTATGCCTAATACAAGTCAATTTTGGTACATTCTTGCTGCCATTTTGTGGCAGCGTGAGGAGCTGTAACAAAATGGGGTTGATGTCTTAACTCCTCATGGAAGGAAGGCAGCTGCCCATGTGCCTTCTCCTGCACAGGAATATGATCCCAAGGAGCTGAGAACTGATGCTCTATACATGGTACCAGTTGATAGTAACACCTCCTCCTCTAGATTCTTTGTTTTTCAAATTTACTTGTTTACTTAGAAATAGAAATCCACCCCCCAAAAGGTTTATGAGTAGATTTGAAGCATTGTAGTTGCTGAGCATAGACTTGATGTGATGGTATGGAAAGAGGGAGCATGTTTTGGAATAGCTACTGGCATAAGCTGTCTTGTCCTATTTCAAAAATGATCTGTGCCATACACTGCTGACTTTTCCTGTCCATCCATTAAAAAGTGAATTATGAAGAGTGCTGACACAAACAGATAGGAGTTTAACCTTGTTAGTAAATATCAGGTAGCTGATATATACTGCTAGCATGTTACATCACAGCCTTGCTCTTCAATATAAGTTTATGAAATTATCTTGTTACTATATAAACTGCCTTGGCTGGGTACACTTTTCCAGAGAGTTATTGTTTGCTGGATGTTGGCACAGTAGCACTCCGAAGAGTCAGTTCACGATGTGGTGAATTTTAAAGACTTGGGAGATGGCCATATCTATTTTTCAGCAAAGGAATGAAAGCTTTTTTTCTTTTTTTTTCTTTTTTTTTTCCCCCAAGGTATTAAAAGTTTCAAAAGATGTGCTGAAATGAAAAGGAAATAATAACTAAAGTCTGGATGGGAAGTAGTGCCTCAGAGTACTGACTTTGTTTGTTTGCTTGTTTCCCCCAAATCTTAATATTTTAAGTACAAATTAATATTTTAAATCAAATAAACCTGTTGTGTGAACTAGTAAGATACTTGAACTATATCACACATTATTCATTTATTTTTGTGTGAGTGCAATAAAAATTTTACAAGCTGTAATCTTGTTCTTTTAATAGAGAGAAAACTATGCAGAATATGTTGCTTAAAGTATTAGATAAGCTGCAGTATGTTAATCAAATATTTTCATGATATGAGGGCAGTTGAGAAAACTACAATTTTTGCTAATGGCACTGGTAAGTAAACGGATCTATCATTACATTGTCATGAAAAGTGACATTGAGCAGAAACACCCTGCCAATCCCTAGAAGATAAGTATTTAATGTAATTAGACAGACACTGTCTCCTTTGTTGAATGTAGCATTAATCACCCAGAGAAGTCCAACTTTATATGAAATGGCTTTTTCTGATATGTCTTTGTATTAGAAAGCTTCTTATATGGTTTTGCCACAATGATATATTTGAAGAAATGACTGCTGTAGCTTTACGGGTTTCCTTATGACATATCTTGCTGTTCTGTGTTTCATAATATTTATTTTTTTTTATTTAGCAATGTTGCATTATATAGCTGTGACTTGTTCCTAAGTCTAGAAACCTGTGTGCAATTGGAGCTGAACCTCTTTGAAGCAGTTTAATGCATTCAACTTATGAAATATAAAAGCAGCACAAATAGCTTCCGATATGTTCTTCAGTCCTTTCTATGTGATGTTAGCACAGGTTCATTGTTATGGCAAAAGCAAAATGTTTCTTACCTCAAATGCTAGTCCCTAATATCACACATAAAAAAAAAATAAAAAACCCTTCTTTTTATGAAAATCTCATTGTTAAATGGATGAAAAATGTTGCCCCCTTCCAGAATTCATTGGCACTACATTTTTTTTTCTTTTTTTTTTCTCTCTTCTGTTGCTTGTAATTTGTACTGTGAAACGCTGTCTGGTTATGAACTGGTATCAATTTGAGTCAGTGCACAGCTGTGTCTTCCCACCTTCTCAGTGGTGCCGAGGGCTTTGAAGGAAAAGAATAGGGTTTAGTCAGAGATGACAGGGGACTTCACCGGGTAACAGGTGGAGGTCAAGTCAGTTTATTTGTTGGGCTGAACAGAGTGCAGAGATGAAAAATCTTTGCCATAATAAGGTTTAGGAAGAAAATGCTGACTAGTCTAAGCTTTGATTCCAGCTGACAGATCCTTTTCTAGTGTTCATTACTTGATTTCACAGTCCAGGCAATTTTAAGAGACTTAAAATTATGTTTCTGCTCTCCTCTATAAAACTTTTTGATCACTTTCTAATTTTTTGCTTTAAGTAAAGTTATATAGGGACTCCCTGATATATCACTCCTGCCTGTAGACTCTTACAAAGTCAATATGCCATAAAAATGTAAGGATAAGCTTTTTTTTTTTAGAACCCTACTTTTACTGATTCTTTTAATAAATGGAGTAAAAAATTCACATGTAGGCACCAATTTGATTAGAAAATTAAAACTTTCTAAAAACTCCTCTGAAAAGTGGATGTTAAAACAAGCAGGATGCTTGAGAAGGCAGTGTTCCTGTCTGGGAATATGGGATTTTTGTGTTGCTGGTAGCAGCATTAATGACGCCGCACCAGCCCAGTGTGCTGAGTTTCAATCCCTGAGTACCGGTGAGCCGTGCTCTGTCCTGAAAGGGAGTCACAGCAAGACCCCAGAGAATCAGAGCAGAACGTCCTGACGTTATGTGGCAGTGCTGGGACCGGGATGACCTGTCGGCATCGTTGCATGTCACTGCAGCATCACAAAGGGATTTCAGAGGGCTGAGCTGCGAGGGTGCGGGTCTCTCCTAGTTTAGTCTCCTGCCCTTCCCTGTGCCAGCTGCTGGGAGGGCAACAGAGGCATTTCTCCTTTCCCACCCTTTTTTTTCCACCACCACCACCTGCTTCCTACCTGCTGGAGTGGGCAGAATAGGATTATCTTTAGCCATTTGCTAAAATCTTCCCCCTCAGACTTTCTATTACTTCTGCATTCATTCTTTGCAGGAAGAGGAAACTCACTGGTCAAACCCTTGGACACCAGAATAGTTGCATGCAGTTTCCCAGGGAGCCAGATAGCTCTAAAGCTTCCCAGTGAGTGACAGTTTCTCTCTTCTATTCTTCTGAAACATGTGTTTTACACATATACTGAAAAATGTTAATATCAATTTACAGCCAGATTCTTGGTTTTTTTTTTTATAAAAAAAATATCAAATCTCCCAAAGTATTTACACTTAGAGCACCTCAGCACACGTCACTTTTTTACGTAGGAAAAAGTGTTGGATGCTCTTATACACATAACATCATTGGGCTGGAAAGCTGTTAGCTCATTCCGAGTTAGTGGCAAGAACGCTGGACTTGCCAGCACCAAACTGTGAAACCTTTTCTGTGTGACTGGTAGAAATCTCATGGGGGTAGAAATCCAAAAACGGGGAGGAGGGGGGAATGTAAATCTGTGCATTTGGATTCGAGCAGCTTCAATACCGTGATATCAACTTTGTCCTAGAAGTCCTTGAATCACAAATCATTGGGAGAGTGTTTTGGAGAATTATCACTGTATGCTTTCCCTGGTCTTTTACTCTTTTCTAGGCATCCATTAGTTCCCACTGTCAGAGAGAGGATTCTGGACTAGGTGGATCCCTGTAATCTGATTTGGCATGGCTATTTTTCTGTGTTCCTAAGCTCATGAGATCAAGTTATGTAGGATTATTTCATAATGCCAGAGCAGGAGTTTCTGAGGTTCGACAAAGCTATATAGCAAAGTGTCTGATAAAAGAAAAATCCTGTCCCATACTGTAGCTTTCTTGGTCCAGTGAAGCAGCATCCTCATGCATACAAATCTTGTAAAGTTGCTTCTGATAGCTCCCTCTGTCCCTTCATTTTTGCAAGCTAAAGTGCCATTTTCCTTTTTACAGCTTAATTGAACCTTAATGCACCCATTTTCTGCAATGTGGTATTTTGGTAATTTTACTATTTGCTTGTAAGTTTTCCCTTAAGCAAACTGAAAGCTTCCCCTTTATCACTTCACTGGGCCAAGATTTCACACAGTATCCTGCTTGCTACGAAATATGATAGTGTTCTCTCTCACCTTGTTTCTTTTTTCTTCTTTTACTTTCTTTTATAAAATCAGGATATCTAAGAAACCCTGAACACCGCGGAGCACTACATGGTGGGTGTGCTTATTCAAACAATGCCAATGCTCTTGTTCTCGGTGCACAGACATTTTGTGTTGGTTGGGGGGGATGTACCAGGTGTCCCTCTCATGTGGATTCTCAAGTGTCTAGTAAGGACAGAGCTCTTGCCGAGCACTTTGCCAGAGTGACAGCGCTGGAGGGAGCACTTACATGTCACCTCTGCCCTTCCTGTGCCTGTTTTCATGGAACTTGCAGGGAGATTTTTCCCTGGGAGCCCTCTGCCTCTCTGTCAGGTGTGTTTTCACTTGTTCCATGGGTGAGAGAGGTGTTGGGCAGCTCACATGAGCAGCATGGCCATACACGACTCCTCTGGAAATGATGCCAAAGCCAAACTGCTGTGCTCTGTCTTCCATCCCAGAATCCTAAAGCCACTGGGAATGCAGAAAAGTGAGCCTGATTTCTTCACCTGTCTGAGAACTCACCTGTTGGAAAGCAGTTTAAGTCTCTGCCGCCTGGGAACTGCTGGTGGCAGGTCTGCAGTGCCATTCCAGTGGGCACTCACCGGTGTGCAACTGGAAACGGGCACTTCCCAGTAAAGAGCACAACAGTTGTGTGTTACCTACAAATTATTTTTGGTGTTATGGAGAAATAATATGACTTTTCAGTCCTGTGACTCTCAAACTCAGATGGTAAAAACACCAAGAACTACCAGATAGCAAAACATAACAGTTCCATGAGTACACTCCTGAGCTGTCAAATTATAAATCTGTTGGTACAATGCACGTGAATTCAGTTTGCAACATTTTCTTTCTTTGGAATAACCTATAAACTCTTCACCTCAAATTGTGCTGAAATCAGGTGACTTTACAGTCCGTGGTAAATTATCTGAGCTACTTTTAATCCTGACCACAGCTTTTTATTAATTAAAGCACATGTTCAATGGCAGTGTACACCGATTAAATCTTCAAAACCAATATTAGCACCAAACTTAGTCTTGTCATCATAAAAGTCATTTGAAAACATTACCATGCAGTAACTGAGGTCACAAGTCGAAAAAATCTGCATATTTACCCATCTCCATCTCATGCCTGGGGCGTTTTGCAGCCATCATTGTTAAATATAGCCTGAGTAGCCAATGGTCGTTTGATGACATGCAAATAATGAGCAAATGATTTTTGAGGAAATTAAATAAATAAATAAACCCAAAAAATTCTACTCTGTCCTCTTCAGTTACTAAAATTCCCTTTAGTATCACTTGCAATTTAGCATCCATATGCATCCCAGGAAGATATAGTTGAAACATAAATCTATTCTGGGTCCTTTACTTGCAAAAATATCATACCTCAGCTATAATCATATGCAAAGACTTTTTAGAGGGCTTTGTAAATGCCATCCAAATTTATGATGGCATTTTTTGCCTTGCAGCTATAGATGTTCCATCCCCAAAGCACCCACATAAAGGTATATTCTCCTATGGATGGCTGCAGTTTGTCCCTGCTGCTATATCTAATCTGCCAAGTATGCTGAAAAACTCTCAAGTAGCATTTGAAATGAAACAAATGTAGTCATGAATTTTAGACGAGATGTCTAAAGACGTCATTAGCCTTTTTTTTTTTATTCTTCTTGCAATATATATTTATACAATGCAAAATGATGCCAAAGCTAACATTAAATCAAAGGGAAAATTGAACTGTTATCCTGCTGTTTATTACACTTCTCATTAAAGTTTTTAAATGTAACACTCATTAAATTGTATTTTTAAGAAATTGGTAGGATGTTTAGTACTAGTTTATTAGTTATTGAAAGAACTGCTTGGGTGACAGAGCAGGAATGAAGTCTAACTTAAGTGATCTAAAACATATCCAGATGATGCTGTAAACATAGATACAAACAGATAAGGTAATACACTCTATGGGAACGTTGTACCAAACAATTTAAGACAGACTTTAATGGGGTAGAATTTTAAAATAATGGGCAATATTGTAGTGCTCGGCTTTAAAATTCTGTAGGCAAAGTTTTCCATCAGTATAAATTGATATTTCTCCTTTGTAAGTGGATTAGTGCTCACTTACGAAGGAGAAATTTCAACCTCCTTTTTCCCTAAGTGACATCAGAATTTTGATTCTAACTTGAATTATCATTTTTGGCTAAAAATTGCTGAGGAGTCCAAAAGCATTTAAAACCTCAAGCCATTGAATCCATTTAATGCGCCTTTGGCACCTCTCTCTCTCTCAGTCCTTTTTGAACATTCTGGTCCTCATTTTAATCAATCTCTTTTTATTAAGTTCTTTGGCTCATTTACTTGTACGTGCATTTGCTTTATTTTATTTGGAACATTTCTTTTGTAGTGTCTTGAAAAAGAGTTGTGACATTTCTTTTGGATGGCTTCTTAAGTATCTGGCAGTCACCTATGATACGATGTTGATGGGTACGGATAGATTAGCTCTGTTTTCCTGATGATCTGTCAGATGTCGAGTTCTGAGGAAACTGGTTGTGTGTGTTGGTGATGCATATGCAGTAGTTTGATAAGTGGATAGAGGGGGAGCTTTCATTTTTCTTCTGTAAAATCACTGTTTATTAAGCTGGATTTAGCCTTGTGAAGCAAGGTGCTCGCTGGCAGGTAGTTAATCAGTGATCATGGCAACTCCGAATGCAACCAGGGGAGCCAGTATCCATTCAGAACATAGAAACTAAAGAGCACTTCATTAGGATGAGTGAATTTCCATCTGTGTTGTATTTTGTGTATACTGGAGCAATTAATACAGTAAACTGATGGATGGCAGTTAGTGTGATTGTATCTCGGCTGATGACAAAGTTTGTGCAGCACTGAGCAGAACAGACTTACTATGACTGGCAGGAGTGTAGCCATCAACATTTCAAGAAGCTTGAAATTAAGGATTCCCCAGGAAAAAAAAATCTAGCAGCTGATCAGCATTTTTGTTGATACTGATTTAAGTGAAATTGCTGGAATAATTTGCACAGAAGGATGAAAATTCCTTGAAAAATTCTTCGCATGTATCAGGTTTTTATTTCAACAGCCAACTTGTTTTTCTGCATCATCTATTTGTTCTGCATGTTGTTGAGTTCATGGTCCACCTGATGATATCTGAGCTTGTGATTCCTTTTCCTAGTGTGCCTTGAGAAGGAAGATCCAGACCATATTTCATTCATAGCTTTTGTAACAAAATCTCCTTCAAGAGTGTAGTGGGAATATTGGGGTAATTATCCAAAATTTGTCTTTGGAGGTAAATATATGAGCTGGTCTACCAATGTGGCTAACGAGAGATGGAATTTTTGTTTAAAATGTGTGCAGGCAGAATAACGGTAGTTGTTAATGGAGTGAAATTGGATATAGATATAGATATATATATACACAGGTATAAATACAGCTATAGATTTGGATAGAAGGGGTATTGTTCTCCTCTTGCTGTGACTCCATTCACTCCATCAAAGTTAATCCTAATTTCAGTCCCTCTGTTAGTAAGGCACGTAGGTACATGGAAAAGAGGTTCACAGATATTTATTTGTTCTGGGAAGGATTTGTGCATTCAATTCTCACGCATCATTTTCTGGTCCATTTAAATATATATCAGCCTCATACATGAACATTTGAAGATCTTTAGCTGTACTCAAGGAAGACTCTTATGTGGTGCGTTTCTAGTACTGGCAAACGTAAGGAGGTAGAGGAATTAAACCCACTGCAATGCTCCAGTGCCCCTTAGAAGATGAGGAACATGAAGTATTCCTGTGCACTCACTGATTAAACTTGGGCTGGAGGTTTGCGAAGTGCAGAGTTTTCGAAAGTCTTACTACGGGACTTCAACATCTGTGCAATGGCTCCAGTAACCAGAGTCTCCCAAGGACAAGGATCCCATTTACGCTTGCATTATGCATTGAGCAGAAGGGTGTGATGCATGATGTGGAATGAACAAAATAACTTGTGTGTTTAGGGAAATGCCAAATTAATGAAAATTCAGAAAGCTCTAATGTTGAAAAGGCACACAAATTCCTTGATAGAAATATAATGCTGCTAACAGTTTCAAGATTATTGTTGTCTGAATTTTCTGCTTATTGTGTACTGCAATTAAAATTCTTTTCAACTGAAAAACCAATGTCAAATTAATATTTCCTTTTGGAAAAAAAATACGAAAGTACACATCTTGTTTCATTTAGCACCATCATGGTCTTTGATCTGGTTCCCTCTGTCCAGTGAAAAAAGCAGATTCAAGTTAATGGGAGCAGGGTAAGACCATATATGTTTGGCATACATATAGAATCACATGAACACAAGTACAGTAAGTTAAAGTAACACACCCACTCAGGCTTCCATCTGCGCTTTCTTCCAAAAATCCCTTTATTTTCTTTTTTTATTTAGTAATTAACTTTCCCATTTTTTCTGTAGTTAAAAGCTGCCATAAAATGAAAATAGACTAAGTCTGATTTTCTTCTCTCGCACTCTAAATAACATTCAGAGGAGACTCAGACCTGGATTCTGAAATCTGTGTTCCCTAAAAGTGCCAGGTGTGACTGTGATTTGGACAACCGTACTATCCACAGAATAGTAAGGAACACACTTAAACCCCACCTGGGTTACCCAGCCGTTGTGTTCTGGCTGTTCTTGTTTATTCCTTGCTCAGAGCAGATGGATAGAAAGAGGCAGGGAACGGGGAGGATCCTTGGCTCCATTCCCTATTCACCGGCCAGCACAGCTGAGATGGGCTGGGGGATGTTGTAATTTGTTGCTGCCCTGCACCAGAGAGCAGAGAGAGGAGAGCAGGGACTCAGAGGTGTCCTTAGAGTTGGCACTACCCCTTCCTTGGGGTCCTGTGAAGTGCTGAAATCTGATGTTCAGAACAGTGGTCCCCAATATCCATTGGCTCTTGGGAACAATGCTGAGGAAAGCCGTGCAAGGCAGCAGGATCCTCCTGGGATGCATCCCCAGCTCTGCCCGGAGTACCTTCATCTTTAACTTTTTAATTTCCTGCATCCCTGAGCAACACAGGAGGGGACGCTGCAGGCTGGGGACCACTAAATGTGTTAAAACTCATTAGATATGAAACAGAAGACCTTTAAAACTAGCCAAGAGTCTCAAACATGGGTGCCAAAAATTAAACACCTAATTCCATATTTAGTTCTTTACCTTAGTTCCTGCCTCATAGCTGTTAATATACACCATGCCATCTCACAGGTGGCCTAATTTTCATAGGCACCAGGCACCTACAACTAACTCGAGTGCTGAGACTGCTCACCTAAGTGACTTGTAGTATTTGAAGCTTTTCTGGGTGATTAAACCAGAGTTCCCTCTCTCTCAGCTCCTGAAAGGAGCTTCGATAGAATGACCAGCATTGTAACATATGGCTTAGCAAGGGGAGAAAAAAAAGAAGAAAATGAGTATTAGAAATGGATGGACTAAAGAATACGCAGGATATATCAGGCACATTAACCAAACATATGGTGCTAAATGAGATATTTTTTTTAAATTGCAAAAAAATTGACATTCCTGGCAGTCTCAAGGATAATGTGACATGGCTGTGATAAATTTAGAAGAATGGGACATATTTTGGCTTGTTCTTGGAAACCTTTTTCTTGCATGCCGACTGTATTTCTTCTTTTATTAACCCATTCAAAGAATGTTTGAATTTTGCTGCTAGAGCACCATGCTAGCGCAACATAAAATGTGAATGATGCTAATTGCTTTGCACTGCCTAACTTTCTGTCATCCTCTCCCCTCTTAAAGGACAAAACATGCTTTGGAAATGAGCTGGCAAGCTCATCTTCTTCTTTCTCTTGGTCAATATTAAGTGATGTAATTAAGCTCCTGTTTGCATATTCTTCTGAACTAGGAAGCAGCCATTTTTTTCTTGAGATCTGATGGATGTGATCACTCAAAATAAAATGTGTCATTACAAACCCCAAACAAAACAAAAATATGGTATAGTTGGACTGTTCCAAACCAATACATTTCAAAATACCCTGAAATAAATAAATAAATAAACCAAACTTGTGATAATAATGGCAATCAGAATGATAACAAACAAATAGAACAAAAGTAGTAACAATTATCAGTGCTTCAGTTTGTCTTTTTACACAATTTTACAGCATAATGTTACATTAAAATCTATATTTTCACATGAAAACAGCTGCCTCAACCTTATGAAACCCATCCCCATATGAACATGACACTTCTCAGCATTGTCACACTCAAGGTCATTCATCAGCTTCATTGCAGCTCCTGAAGTTCCAGTGTTTGGACACAATCACATGAACTTGCTACAGCTTTAAACTGTGTTCCACTGCCTCTCTGCCCCTTTTCCCTACCTTGATTTAGGTGAGTCATGCAGGTTTTTTAACACAGGGGCAAAAGAAAAGCTATTTCACTTTTTTAGAAGCTTTATTATCTTTCCCATAATCCTGAAGAGGGTTTGCAGCCAGAGGATATGGGGAAAGCAGGGAGTTCATGAGGCAGTTGAGCCATACAGTGCACAGACTTGGAGATCTTACTCCTTCCGCTCCTTCTATGCTTGCCCAGGGCACAGGTAACTCATGTCCTACCTGGACCCCTGCTGCCCGACCTTGCAGTTGGAGCACTTACATGCTGGCATATTTTACTGTGACCTTCCCTGTACATAAATTCTTGGCTGTCCATGCTATTTTGCACTTGGGGCTGGGTTTGACACTCATTTGGTGTTTCCATCCCTAGTTCTTCCATCATAAGGAAATCCGGGTCAACAGCACCGTTAATTCCTTTGAGTGTCCTTGTCCTGAATATGGACATTCAATAACTGTTACATCCAAACATGCCATTGGAGCAGAAATTCGTCAGGCTGCATTGGAATATTTCATCAAGACACCTTAGTTCAGTCTCCTTTTCTCTCTTCCCCCTCGACTGAACCAATCTTTGCTTTTGTCCCCACTCCAAAGTCCTTAAGACCAATATGAAGAAAAAAAAACAAACCCAGCCCAATATTTTTCTTGCACAATAGTCAGTTCTAAACTTTGATTTTTAAAAGGTTAAGTCTGTAACCTTTTCTGCTGCAAGGAAAAACCCACCACGACAGCAAACCCTGTAGCAAACAGTTTTGTGGGAAAAAGCTTCAAGTACAACACTGGAACTCAAACCATTCCCTTACTTTATTTAACTTTCAGAAATATAAACTGCAAAGCCTCACTGAAACCATTAAGACCCAGCAGTGCAGCATATAAAGTACAAGAAGGCTCCTGCTTATTGCAATCAACATCCCAGGGACTATAAAACTAGTGTTATTAAATAAAAAGTTAATAATATTGCCCAGAGATAATATTGTCCAGGCCTCTCTCTTTACTTTTTAACAATTAAATTCTATAAAATACAAAGTTGGAAATAAAGTCGAATGACTTCGCTAGTGGAAGTTCAACTTCCACGTTATCTGATATTTTACTTTTGCACCTGAAATCTCAACCATTCTCCACCTTTGTTATATACCTATAGATGTGCAAAATGCCTGATGATCTGTATATACTGGAAATTAGGAGTTTTCAGAAAATGTGCAGATAATCAGAATACCCAGACGCATCTAGAACTATAAAAATATAGAGACTAGTACTGACACATTCATACTTTTCATCTATATACTGTGATATTCTTTTATCCAGGCATCAACCATACAAAGAAAAATCTTGGATTTTAAAATCCTGTTGAAATATATTAATTCCAATAATTTCTTTGATGCCAATGGCTTGACATGGCATCAACAGGAGTTATTCTAATACCAAACTGGTCAGATTAGCATCACACCATTTCTGCCTGTCCATGGCAGTGGTTTCACCCAGTGACAACTTAACTCTGATTTTCGTTGGAAGCCTTTGATATAGTTCAAGGGCATTATAACAACTCTGAAATAATTCCAGTGCGGCTTCTAATATCAAGACAAAAATACCATTCACCCTTTAAAAAAAAATTGAAAGCAAAAGAGAAGCACATAAATGTATTACTTTCAAATACCTTTGAAGTCAAGAGAGTAAGGGGAGGCAGAATTTGAACTCAGAAAACTTCATTCTCTAGTTGTGCCTTGAGTCGTACAGCACATTTAAAAGATCCATTTGCAATAATCTATTAAACCAACGAGTGAAAGACAGAACTCATAAAAAGCCTGTAAAAATCCAAATGCTCCAGCTATTACAGATTTCTAAAAATAAAGCAGAGTAGGTTTCAGTAGCAATAATAAGCTGCATCCTATCCATATTTCAGATTTATAAGAAAAATATGGCTGCCTTTTAGTACTCATGGCTCAGAGCAAACCATGGCTGCTTCTGCCTTCAAAAAGATCACAAATAAAAGTGAGCTTTCAGCTTGCTGTTGTGTTCGCTTCATTTGTCCTTTAAGTGTGTCTAGCTGCTTCTGCACCCCCTTTCACAATGCATAGGCTGTCGTTCCATGACCTAGCATTATTAAATTGCACTTATCAATCATTCTTGCCAGGAATGCCATCGCCAACTACATTAAAGAAGTCAGAGAAGTCTGGTTTCAGCAGTCCCTCGCCTTCGCAGACCTCCTCCCTTGGAACGGCTTTCACACAGCACCATCGACCTGTCATTACAGGACCCAGAGGTGAGGCCATACCCAAGAGCCCCCAGGCAGCTTAAACATGTGCCACGGCACCCAGTGTCCATCCCAGCGCCTCTCCATGGAAAACCATCGCCACCTGTGACCTGCCCAGAGAGACGCTGCACTCAGGACCTTGAGAACCCTGAGGGTTTAGGTGTCTGGAGTTTGGTTTTGTTAGGCTGGGATCTTTAGGCAAGCTCCTGATGACCACTCAACAGTGCCTAAGGTGGAAACGCTGGTTTCTGGGGACTTGGGGTTTTATTTGAAGAGGGTGGGGAAAGGGACAGGATGTGTTGCAGAAAGTGTCTTCTGCTTGTGACCATTCATCACGTTGATTCAGTCCAACTGCTTGAGACAGGGACCCATCCATCACTTCTGACCCTCGCCTGTCTTCCAGCACCGTGGCTTTCCTTCTGCCAGTCATTTATTCTCGTGCTGTTGGTGTCAGTGTGCCGAAGAACCGCCTTGTTAGGGGACTCCTTTGAAGTTGATTCCTTCAATGCTTTGGCAGGTTTTCCTCCCAGTACTCTTCTGACTCACTTTCCAAGTAAAAGAAATGTCCTCTGGGTCTAGATGTGCTTATACATTTTTGTTAGAAAGATGCATTTGCATTTAGCCTAGAAAACTAAGTGTAATTCTCAGTTCACATTTGAAAAAGAACTCACTTGGGCACAGTAAGAGACACAAATGAATGAATCCTCTTACAAACCTCTTTGGAAGATACAAAAATAGGAATGAATGGTTGTGACATGTTTCTTTCTGCTATGAAATTTTGTTTCATTTAGAGAAGATTATTAAGGAATTGGTTGAATGGTGAAGCATAAAAAGGCATATTAGCAATTCATCCTAGAAATTATTTGGAAATGTCTATTTGGCATCAGCGTGATTTTACTGAGGGCAGCTTAAACTAGGAGGAGCCTCTTTGTCTGCACAGTCCAGGTGATGTGGTGAGAAGTGGTGGAATTGCACAAAGTTGAAGCAAGATCAGACTTGTACTTCAGGAGTTTTGTGCTTTTTTAAATCTACTTATTGTAGTTTGATTTGTTGTGGTTAATCCATTAAAATTATTCATTACCCTTAGACACACACCTAGATCCTCAGAAGATGTTTAGGCATCTAAGCTCTGTACAAATTTCCCTTGAAATTTGGATCTGAGCTATCTGGCAAATATATCTTCTTTTAAAAGCCTTGCTAATTGGTGATATAAGTATGAATAATATGAAGCTTCCATTAACATTCTATTCAGTGCACATCAGTTGACTCCGAATTCCTGTCTTTTAGAAGTTCAGCCTTTTAGATTCGGGTTGTTGATTGATTACTTAATAGGCCTTCCTTTATTTAGCTATGTTTTACCTCCCACTAATTTTTTAAGATCATTGACTGCCTCTGTCTGCCCCTGTTTAGACCCTCTGTGTTTTGGATTTTTGTGTGGTTGAGAGAGGAAATATCTCACTGGTGAGGCCTTGTTTAAATCTCATCTACAGTCTGTTTTCACAAGACTTTTTCTGTGCACTGGCAGATATCCATCGGCTACGTGAGAAGAACATTCAATGGCAGCCAGAAGTTGAAAGAGCAAATACAATTATTACAGTCCCAAATTTTGTTTGTTTGGAAGGAGATGTCTTTACTAACTCCATAAAGAAGTAGCACAGTTTTTAGTCATCATGGTTCCTAACAGGTTAACCAAAACTGTTCTTCTCCAACATCTTCTATTTTATGATTGTTCACAAAGTCTCACAGATTTTCAGGAAAAAAATCCCTCTGAATTTCTTTAAGTGTCATCATCCTGGAAAAGTCTTCTCTCAGACTTCATTCTTTGTTCTTTTTAGACATTCCTTCTCAGTATTCTTCCACAGCACACCGGCTGTGTTTATTTCTCTGCTACAATGATCGTTCTGTTAGTAAAGGGTAATATACTGAGGTGGATTATTTCCTGCAAATCCAGCTTTGTTCTTTATCCCATTGCCTCCAGTGTACTTTAGGGACAGTAAGCACAAGAGAGAAGCTTTTCAGGTATCAGAAGTGGCAGCATAAAGAGTATAATGCAATAGTATAAGAGGATATAATTCAGCAATTCATATCCACCAGTAGTTACTGCAAGTTGTGCCTCTGCAGAAATGATATAGCACACATATGTTGCATTCTCTTTGGATACAGGTGCATTATGTAAATGGTCAGTGGCAGGTCATTCTGAGGGGTTTTCAGAAAACTAAGAGCAGGATTTAATCTTTAGTCTTCAGAGAGATTTCAGAGAGAGGAGAGTTGTGAGTAAGTAGGTCACCATCAGAGTAAGCTCCTCAGACAACCAAACAATCACAAGAAGGTTCGATATCCTTCTCATGTTCATATGTGCAAGTTTATCACTTGGATGTGTGTATGAGATGCATTTGTAAAGCATGATCAAAATAGCAGAGAAGAAGCTGTAGACTATTCATGGCAGGTGTTGTCATTGACAACCAGTGATTTATAACTTCTCAGGAATATTCCCAAATCTTTCACACGCTTTCAAACATCCCTTAGAATACAGTGCACATCATATGCTGGGGTATCCCAGGATACTGAGTGCCCTTCCCAGTCATCCCCAAAGTGAGTCATTTTGGAAACAAAACTTCCTTGGAGGAGGAGTAGATCCTTAAGAGGATTTCTTAGCTCTGAGATGCTCCATCCAATGAACCAGTTGGAAAACCTCTGCTCTCATTAAATTGTCCGGATGCTCTGTGTTGTGGAGGGCTGTGCACTAGCTCCTCTCTGCACTGGTGCTGCTGCCAGTGCTCGGCCCAGCTGGGCAGTAGCCAGCGGAGAGGATCCGAGCTGGCTGACCAACAGACCAGATGTGCAGTGAGTGCTGGCGCATGGATGCCAATGCTTCAGTGACTCCTCAGTAGTTCCAACAGATGGTGGCAAGATCCAAGTTTCTTTGGTGCTAAGCTAGCAAAGTGATTCATGGAGCCTCACTTGATGATGGCAGTTTTTTGGGCATGACTCTATGAATGCACCATATGTCTTCTCTGGACCAGCGTGGTTAGGACTCAGTGCCTGGCAGATGGTAAACTGATCACCTATAGGGTGCCTTTAGCATCACTATCAGTTTTAGAATTTATTTCAAATACATTCAAGCACTCAGATCTCTTACTCCTACGCAGCATACTTTTGTTACCTGCAAATTAGATTATTTGGTGGTCAGTGTAACTCACCACAGCACTCCAACTTTGCAAAGCCATAGTGTATTGCTGGCACCTCACAAAGTTTCCCAGACCACTTGAACTCTTTACCAGACAGTGAAGGATTTAAATACCATGGGTGACAGCAGTATTTACATAAGTGGTTTTAGGCTTCCATGTATTTCTACTTACACTCTAGTGACTTTATATCTGGAGCTAAAAGTTAAATTGACCACGATCTTGTAAACCCAGGATGTACAGCAGCCTGTGCTGCAGAGCATTCAAGCATTTCCACAGAATATGACAGTGTGGTTCCTGCAAGCCAAAAAGCAAAGAAGAAAAGGCAAGTAAAGAAAAAAAATAACAATGAGATGGTATGTTAGGAAGATAAATGAAGGAGAAACACAATTACAAGAGGCAAGAAATACAGCACAAAGGGAAGAATCCGAGGAAGTGGGTGTGTGAGCAGAAAAGAAGAAGGAATGAAAGTCAACCAGTGGACTGGTTTCCATTATATTAATTTCTCCATAATTACCATCGTCACTGAGACTTTTATCAGGACAAGGGCTGCCAGGGAAACACTGCAGGACAGTACTCACTGTTCGTGCCAAAGTGGCAAAAACTTTATGTCACATATCTGGAAAGATATTGTGCCCTTCTCTATCTAAATTCTCGACTGGGTCACCAAAGTATCAGTGCCTGTTCGCTGTCCTGTCAACCAGCTTCAAGTGAATCAAAGTGATAATTCCTGCTGCACAGTGTAAAAAGACATTTTGTAATATCCTGTTCTGTACAACTCTTAGTGGCTGCTCCTCAGTGCTGTCAGCTGGCAGACTGGTGTAACCTTCTACTTTCCTTTGAATTTTGACAAAAACAAAGTGGTGCAACTTCATTTTGATACAGACACCTCAGATCAAGGGATGGTAATGTCAGATAGCCAAAAGAGGAGAGTGTCACACCACAAAGGTGAGAAAGTTGAGGTGAAGCCATAAATAGCACATAAAAACCCTCATCTGCCCATCAGATGAGTTTACACGTTCCAGTTTACAATGTCAGGATAGCTGACTGTGTAGGGGAAGATTTTGATTTTCTCCACTCAGTTTGCAATAATCTGGTGTCGAAGGAAAAGCAGTTTCTAACAGATGGCCTCAAGGTCAGGGTTTAGCAATGACACGATCCCCAAATTGCAACCGACTGCAATGCCCAGGCAGGGAGGACAGGGAGGGAGGTTTGCAAACGGTTAAAGCTTCAGTTAAACAAAAGTCAGGAACCGTGTAATTAAAACTCTACCTTTGTTGTATTGTAAAGAGTTAGCCTGTGACATAGGAAACATTTAAAGGAGCAGGCTGTTCAGCTAATTTGTGTGTGAGTGAACTGCTTAGACAGTCCTATCCTAAATTAACTATAAGACCACCCACCGAGCCCACCTCATAAAGGGCCGTGATTGCTCAGCTTCATTTTGTATAACCATTCAATAATTACTAGATAAATGCATAACTAAAAGCTCTATTACACTAATAATTTGTACTGAGATAGATGTGTGGGACACCATGCTGGGTTAATTTGTCATCCCTGCAGCAAACTTCTAAAGAGGGCTCTTTTGCAGTGGAGTTGTGTTAATATGTTGCTCCAGTGAGGACATGTTAGAGCAACAAGATGACTTGGTCGCTTAATCTCCTAAAGAGGCAAAATGCCTGGAGGGTAAGTGCCAGAAAGAAGAAAGGGGGGTGATTACCACAGTGGACCCAGATTTAAACTCATCCTGACAAAAGGAGCTGATCTAACTGAGCAAAAGAACGAAAAAAGGGGAGTGTTAAAAACACTAATAGGATTTCATGCATC